GAAGCCGTGTCAATTGCAACATGTCTTGCTCACCCAGTGCAAAATTTTAGAACTCGCTGCGTGACTGATATCTCGGATACTGCTGTTTGCGCAGGGCTACAACAGAATTTAGATGGCGACTGGAATCCCATAGTTTTTTGTTCTTTTTCACAGAATCTAAAGCCGCCAGAAACTCGCTACAGTACATTCGGGCGAGAAATGCTGGCTACATATTTAACTCTGAGGCATTACCACTACTTTCTCGAAAGAAGAAAATTCCATATCCTCACAGACCACAAGCCACTGACTTGCATTTAAAGATAACCACTGTGTGTACTATGCATGAGAAATTCGCCGTCTGGAGGACATTTCGAAATTCACCGTCGACCTTGGTCACATCAATGAACCACAGACCGCAGTTGCGGGCACGCTGTAACGTGTCGGTGCCATGTCTTCAACCTGTCCTGACATCCAATCGGAGGCACTGACTGTAGAACAGAAGCAGGATTTGCAACTCGAAAACCTCCAACACCCTACAACCCCTTTACAACTGGAAAAAGTATATTCACCCTAACCTCTAGCTGCAGTAATCTATGGCGTATCCATGGTAACGAACCGACAGTACGTTACCCCCCAAATGCTTCGACAAAATTTAGACCAACTCCACAGACTAAATCACCCGGGCAACCAAGCTACACGACGCCTCTGAAGTGCACGCTACGTGTGGCCACGTATGAACGCCGACATCCGCGATATGACCAAAAATGGTCTCTTCTGTCAGCAATCAAAAATTAATTGGCACACCAATACCCCACTGGTGCTTTTTCTTGCCCCGCGAGCACGCTTCCATCACGTGTACCTTGGCATTGGAGGTCATCTCTCTCGATCTTAAAGTTTAGCCCAAACTTTTACGTGCGTCGACCGCTACACACAGAGCCGGAAGCAGCACATCTACCAGATATCACAGCGCAAACAGTCGCAGCAACCTTCGTTAACGTGTGCGTCAGTCGCTTCGGATGTCCTTCTGTCATAACAACGGACAGAGGTCGACAATTCGAATCATCCTTTTTTTGACTCATTGACACAATTGTTGGGTACTCGCCACTTTTACACTACGGCCAATCACCCATCCGCCAATAGTAATGGTTCAACGCATCCACCGACAGCTCATAACCGCCATCACTGCAAGAGAAAGACGCAATCATTGAGCGGATCACCAGCTCATAGTGTTGCTTGGCCTCCGCTCTACTTTTAAAGGAGACTTCAATTTCACCTCAGCATAGTTGGTATATGACGTGCCTTTACGTTTACCGAGACAACTCTTTTTTTCTTCATACAAGAAAGCGTCAACATTCTCTTCTTTCATCACTATCTCAACAAATTACGAAATGTGATGGCTTGTTTACCTCTATTACACCGTGAACCAGCACAACTTAAAGTTTTCTCCATACAAGATCTCTCCAGTTGAGCCATCTTTTCCTACACAAAAAAGGCGAAAAAAGGGGTCTTTCTCCACCTGACCATGGTCCTTACAAGGTCCTGGCGCGCACCACGAAGATTTTCACGCAGGAGATCAACGGTCGCCAGGAAAATATATCGGCCAACCGCATACAACCCGCCTATATGGACAGCACTGATTCAACAACCGCCTCCACATCACCACATGTTCCTGCTCGACCCTGCAACCTCCGTTTCGTGGCATATTTAATTCACGATCTCAACGTCACCCTCCAGATGAGAGTTTTATAGGCGGTGCTCTAACTTTGCCTGGGTCGGGGCGGTAGCCCCTGGAAAGAATTCAACGATAAACTGGTGTCCGTCTGACGCCCTACCGACACCTTAACCTGGGGCCCAAATCTGGACACTTGGCGAAGAAGTCGGACAGAAATCCGGCGGCCGTAATTGGCCAACGCCGTCCTTGACCTTGGCGCCGGCCAATCATAGCCGCCACATTTCTTGCCGACTTCCTCGCCAAGTGTCCACACTAGGGCCCCTGCATGAACACTTACGTTCCTTTCATTTCAGAATGCAAGCATGCCATGCTTGATTCTTGGGGGAAAATCCTGTGGCGACATGCCACGGTGTATAAGAAAAGAAAGTCTAAGCTCGAGGCTACTGTCCCGCGCGGTTAGGAATTTAACAGTGCACGAGCTGGACATGAGACTGTTCGGACGTCCTTACAGCCTAGTAACGAAGTTAAAAAAGTACTTATACTGCTGCCCCTGTCCAAAATAAAAAACAAGTGTCGCCGTCATCCCCCTCATCTATAGGCTTTTCGGCAATTTAAAGAAAGTAGCCACTAATATCGATGCGCCACTTGTGTTCTCAGTTCCTACCATATTTTGAAGCCCTTGCCCAAGAACTAATAACGAAAGAGAAGCGAGTGACGCATGCAACAAGAGGCATTGAGTTGACACTGTGGGAAGAAATTGAAACCAACTCGCACGTGAATCGCTAGAGGCCCTTCAGTTGCACTCCACCTTAAGAAGGAAGGGTTCCTGCGGGGAGCCACGGTGTCCGGGCAAGGACAAAAAGAAAGAAGTAATCGCCACTACCTCATCCCCGAAAAAGCAGAAATTGAAAAGCGGCTTAAAAAATAGAAATAAAGTATGAGAAAAGCGATAAAAAAAGAAAAGAAAAGAAAGAAATATTTACTCGACAATTGAAAAAGAAAAATAGGAACATTAAACAGTTGTAAGTTCAGCAGTGTGAATGGTGTTTTTTTGTGTGTGGTGTGATCTTTGTGCAGCTGACCCATCGAAAGCATTTCAACAAATACGTGGAATGCGCAGCGTCGGTGGTTTTTCAGATGCCGACAACGTGTGGGCGTGTTTACATTGTCCAAACCGGCAGATGCCTGAATAAAAGAGCAAGAGAACATAACCTTTCAGGAAAGTAAACACCGTCAGGCCACTTGGCGGTGCACTGCTCTGCACAAAGGTTACTCCCAGCCAAAGCTCTAAACAAAAAAGAAAAAAAAAAAACGAATTTGTTTTTTCGCTTTTTTGCATTAAACTTTGTCCAGCTGCTTGCGCTCAATTTTACTTCCTCCTCGTGCCGCCCAGCGAAGGTGTCGGGCTGCGTATTACACGGTTTCGGGTTCCATTTCTACTGAGCTGCTAGAAAAGTTTATCTCGTCACGATTAGGTATTCCTAGGAATAATTATGTATGACCATGTATGATGGGCATCTTCTATATGCCTGATATAGTTTGTGTATGCTTTATGTTACATTGGCATTCGTGCAAGGCTTTTTAGTCGCTCTCAAGTGTAACTCTTTTAACATAAAATTCAACCTATCAAACCATTTTATGTTAAAGAAAAACGTAAAAACAAAGCAAGTTAAAGGGGAATTCCGGCTATTTTTTCATGGTCGCTGATTTGCCTAAAAAGTGGCTCAACACATCGATAGACACGGTTGTACAAGTTCCCCGGGTATTGTGTGAAAAGAAAAACATTTCGTGAAGTTATTGTATTTTCGAATTACGTTTTCACCGTGTTTCTCAAACCGCTAGCTCTTACTGACAACATTGAAGTGTGACCACAGAAACGGTACAAAGTAAGCGGTAAGCCATGTTTCCAACTAATTACAAGACGTTTTATGGTGGGAAAAGAGTGCTTCGTAACTGATTCATTGAGAAGCACGCAAAAAACTCTCGACATACTCTGTTTAAGACTAACTGGGCGACCAGAAAGTCTGCACCGTTTGTGACGTCACAGCACTGGAGAGCGCGCGGAAGTTTGAATCTAGGTTTCTGCATCATCTGCTTTTACGGTTTTCTGACCTGCCATTTTGAATTTCGAAAAAAAAATAAATAGCATACCGTAAAGACTAAAGTCCGGGTAGTTAGGAAATGCAATTTGCTTGGGGTAGGTAAAAGCGGCCGGAGTACCACTCTAAGATGGAAAACAAATGACAGTGATTCTGAGGTCTGCTGTAGGTCTCATGTGATGTTTTACTATAGCAGCGAAAAACCCTCGAAGTTTGCCTTTTTTTAATCAAAGCATTTTTGATATTTTGGGGATCTCATAAATTGAGAGGTGCGAACTACATTTTCTTTAATACGGACAATGCGCTTTCAGGTTATTACATTGTAGCTACAAGAATAATGCCCGCGACACCACTTTGCAGCAAGTGGATTGAGATGCACACCATTTACTAATATTCTGAGAGAAAAAAAAGTTTCCTCATCGCGCGAGCTGTACACGTTCGACCGCTGCCGGTAATGGCTGCCGACGTTCCATTTTCACAGCTTCTATTTTTTTTTTTCAAAATATAAGAGATTCATGTGCAACGGAATCGTCTTGCTACATACAGCTGCTAAATTATTCGCAGTTCTGTGTCGCAATTGGAGGAAGAAATAGAGTGAGGGAAACCACGGGCGGCTGGTTCCTGACCTGCAGTTATTTAGAAGCCTCATTTGTACAAAAGTCTTGATCTGTATAAATTGATATAAAAGCATTTTATTCTTCAGGTGTAGTCGAAGAAATCACCTAGTACACCGCGATATACGTATACCTATAAGATAAAACATATAAAAGACTGTCGTGTCATCTGTTGCATCTTTAAGATACTTAGCGGGCTGCTCCGGCGTCTCAAAGAAGAGTGCAGCTATAATCACGGACCAGATGAGAACGGCAGTTATAGTCACTGACAAGGCGAGAACTCCTCTAGCACGAACTTTCCCCGTGCATCCTGAGCGCGCATGCAGCCAAAGCAATAGAACACGGTTAAAATTGCGCGTATATCGAAAGGAACACAGAAGAGAGAAGAGACAAGCGTAGACATGTTCAATCATTACCAACTCGCCCAACTAACCACCTTGCAAAATAGAAGGCATGAAGCTCCTGCTGGAGGCTCTGCATTGGAAACGCACGCTTTTTCGTTCTCAATCTGTGAGTGACTATAAAAAGCAAGTAAGTTCGTCTCATTTTTACTTCAAAACAAAATGATTCGCTTCGGAAAAATAAAAAAAAGAGAGTTGATATCTCTTGGATGCTATCTCTGAATTGAAAACTTACAATTTTGTCGACTCTTGTTCCATCAAGGTTTTCCCTAAACACAATATTTTCCGAGAGTATTGCAGTCTTTTGCAGCCTCAGAACAATGTCGTCTTGAATGTATAGCACCTTTTCAGCGTCGAGTCCTCTTGCCTCAAGAAGCCTTGGATAGACGACTATGCCAGGCGAAGGAGCTGTGTTGGGCATAAAAGCGTATTTCATTAGTATGAAGTGCTCTGCCAGTATATATTTTCGGTACATTATAATTTCTGACGTGTTAAAATCAAAATTAGTGTAATTTTCAGAAAGTGTTCAAAAGTACCTTGTTTTTTTAATGTGTTACTGATATTTGTTGTTGAGTAACTGCTTGATGCTATTGGTATCTTTCATACATCGAAAGTCAAGATGGTCTACACATGAGACAACAAACGTAAATCTAAAAGTGTTTGCACATTTTCAAGGATGATGCAAATGATAAAATATGACACACCTAAAAATACATCCGGTATGATTTATTCGAGTTCTTTTAGTACTGAGATAAGAATGACCGCCGCACCGTAAAGCCCTTGATGGACAGGTCTTCGTTTCGAGCTATTACTCGTACGAACGACAAGGCACAACCTTTTACGGTTTGCTCCTAAAAACCCACGAAGCTGGAGCCCAGATATGTGTGGCATTTAAGACAGTGCATCGCAAAAGTCCGCTCAGTAAACTATACGCTTTGTCTTCTATAAAAGATGCATTTCGCTTTAAAAAAAATGACGAGTTATTATGAAAACAAGATAATAACGACTCGTATGCTGCAGGAATATTCCTGGTGAGATGTCTCTCTGTGCGACGATACTAGAACTCAGTTAGGAAACTGCCATAGAATGCTGCTTTGAAAAGTGGTTTCAGTCCGTACTCGAGAACCGAAATAATGCGATCCCAACGCGGCCATTTCTTCCGCAGCGGCCACCCCGGCAACCGCACAGCTGTTGGCATCAGGCCAGGTCGAGTTGCGCAAGGGCCGGTAGCGCTATCTCGCAGTGCCACCTCGCAGTACCGTATTTACTCCAGTAATAGCCGCACTGTTTATGAAGAAAGCCTCAGTTTTCGCTTTTCTGCGGAGCACGCAGATGGCCAATCACTGCGATCGACAGCATGATTCCAGCTGTTTACGGGACAGAGATAACGTCTTCATGCGCAGAATTTTATCTGTGAAGGTTGCTTCTGTATGGAGAATCGTGTTCTGGATCTGGTTATTCCTTATGTTGTTTATGCGCAACGGAATGATTGGCTGTATATGTGTTCTATGGGAAAGTAGACGCAAGGCACTTGTTCATAAATAGTGCGGCCATTGCTCGAGTAAGTACGGTAGCTATATAAAGCGACTCGCCGCTAAAGGACGCCACTGTAATCGTATTTAGTTGGGACCTGGTGGACGCGAGCATCCCGGGATTCAAGGGTGAGTTTTCCAAATGAGTGTTTTAATTACGTTGCCTCTGTGGTGACGATTGTCTTTTGCCACCTGGATTATTCCCTCGAAAAAATAGTGTGGCCCGCTCCTGATATGACTATTCAAGCACGGATGCTAATGTTTCTAAATAGGAAGTCACTGACATACTACGAAACGCAGGCCTTGGCATATAATGTTCACGCTTCTTGCCTCGTGATTGGATCTCCTGCCTTTTTTTCGGCTAATGCCGACATCAGATGGCTGCGGAGAGGTGACGAGATGCTCCAGACTCGCACCACTGTCCGTTTCTTAAGCCGTCAGGGATTATAGCGTGACGGTAATCTAGTTATTTGTCGTTGTAAAGCATCATAAACGAAGAAAAAAACCGGGAAGACGCCATATTAATTGCCTAGCTGCGCTTCGTCATCAGGTGCCAGTTGTGGCTACCTGTTAATGTGGTGAATGCTAACTGACTCAATGGTGGCAAGGTGCGCGGTTTGCAAACAAGGCGCATACAGCAAATACGTTTTGACGTTCTCACTATTTGTGGCACCCGCCATCGGCGGGCAGGTGAGCCTGGGCTGAGTATCGGAATACACATGGGCCAAGCATTCTAGGAAGTTAAACTACGTCTTACACTAGAAAGTGAACGCAAGGGGCGAGGTGTTTGTCATCGCTACTGGGACACACACTTACCAAAATCGGCGACGCGTATGAGCAGCCCTGAGAGGAACGCGCAATGAAAGGTTCCGAACATGTCTTCTAAAATTTTTGCTGAATGCACATGATAAATCCAGTAAGGGTTATATATATGTACATGCGAGACAGTGAAAGGCATCTATTTCATCACCTTTTTTTAAACGAATACCAGGCGCGTACGTAGGGTGGCTCTGGAAAAAGAAGGAACATCTGTTTATGTTACGCATCTCTAGATCTTTTCGTACGGTTATGACGTCAGTAGGAAGAGAGTGGATGCCTTCTGCGATGTGACGTTCGAAAACGGCACATGAAGCAGCGCACCTTTAACAAAGGCAATACAGTAAAAGTGCGTAATTTTTTTTTGTTTTTTTGACACTGGTAAATACGCTGAAAGTAAATGGCTATATTGAAGTAACGGATGTGATAACGGTACGTTACAATGTGCGCACTTTTGCCAAGATGTTTGCATTGACAACTTACGTCATTATGTTGCCGTATCTGCGTCAGTGCTCTTTGTGTATTCGTTCCTCCTGCTGTGTTTTGTGTTGTTTATTTGAAGCTGCCAGCGTAGCGCTGCTGGAAGAAGACCGTTCTGCCGCAATTAAGTCCCAGGAGTCGGTTATAACATGTATCATTAAAAGACTGTTATGTAAGCTGAATATGAGAAGAATACATTTAATTCAATTTAAGTATGTGCTTCGTTTTTAAGTTGAATGGAGCGCGTGTGTACAATCTATTTTGCTGCAGTCTGCCCAGTCATGGTGGACTAGAGCAAGTGTAGCGATCGCTCGCTTCTCTCGGATCCGGGAGCGTTCCCGGATTTCCTACCTTAGCGGCACAGTCACCAGTGTATCACCTGAAGGCTAATAGCAACGTCGCAGCAGCACTCCGCGCTGCATCGGCGATTCCGAGATATTCTCGCTTTTCTACGCTGGACTGTCATGCACGCCTGGGTACCTCAGGTGTACATACATTACGGATATATGTCTAAAGTTGAATGAACACATGTTTTCTCGTAAAATTAAAAAAAAAAATATGTATTGGGCTCAAACACCACATTTGAAACAAGGTGTAAAGTTGGGCGAGTTGGTTGATGGTCATATTGAAGGGGTTAAAACAGCGCAAAAAAGACGAAAGACCAGTAAAAGGAAACACACAGACACAGCGCTGACTTACAACCGAAATATTTACTGCTGCGCCATTCAGCAAGTAAACTTGAAAGGAGACAAACATAAAAGCAATCGGTCCGATAACACGTCAGCCTCCACTCAAGCCGATACGCGGCTACACGCATTTACCCGCCTTTCTGGTAAACTTAATTTCATCAGTAACCAGGGCAAGTAACGGAACAATAATGCACATGCATGCGTCATGGTTGGCAATAAAAAAAGCTTCGTCGATCTCCCGAGCATACTTAGTTTTATATCGGGCTAAAATCTTAATTTCATTAGACATTGGAGAGCGCGCTCTCCAATGTGTAATGAAATTAAGATTTTAGCCCGTTCACCAAAAATGTGTGTATATCGTTTACAGTATATAAAGGGATACAAGAAAAAAAAAGGTGGAGAAAGGGAAGCGAAGGCGCGCAAACCACTAGGGCCACCCGTTCACCACAGAACACTGGCTACTTGGCGCGAGTCAACGCCCGGTTCAAAGGAGCCAGCCGTATAAGCCTATCTGTCCATCCTCTGCATTCCTTCGACTACTTGCGCCCCTAGCGGCAGGCGTGGTGCATATATTAAGTTGGCCCCTGCAAACCTCTCTCCTTCCATGCACCTTCTACCTGCTTTTTACTCTCCTTTTTTCTTCCACCTCTCTCCCTCGGTCCTCGAGCGCGTCTCAATGGCGAAGGCTACAGCTGCGTGAGCCTGACGGAGCGACGGAGTATCTGGAGAACCGCTTGCTGCAATAATTCAAGACCGCGAAACCGAAATCAGAAAATATATCTCCTCAGATATCTTAAACATTTCGCCTGAGTATTGCTTTGGGTCCCCCCCAAAAAACTATTATGATATTGAATGTATCCTGAAGATATACAGACACTTTTGTAACCCTATATGGCGCTTAAAGGGTTAATAAAAATAACAACGAAAGGAAAACGTCTGTGTTTCTAGAGGTGCTGGGAATCGTCGGTGGCGTCGGAGTACACTGGGCAATTTGGCCCGCCAGGTCGTTCGAGTAGAGCGCGAACGAAAAAACGGTCGTGGGAGCAAGTCACGAGAAAAGGTAAGAATATTTCTTTGTTTCTTTTTGTGCTTGCTGCATTGCGCTTTGGCGATTTCTCATTGTTAGATATGCTGAGACGCTTGTACCTTGAACTTCAGTGAACGATTCGAGACTGAATGTATAGCTTTAGAGAAGAAAAATTTCCGGGCGGCTATAAGGGCGAAAGGCTTTGTTGCCCAGCATTGCTAGCCGGCAAGCATATTCTAAAGTTGTCATTTGGACACCACTTTGAGTTGTCCTCACAACTTGTGAGGTCGCTATGTAATAATCGCCGCCCGATCGGCATGTGCTTCGCTCGTCTCCCAGGGAGTGACACAGCACAACGAGGAGATCGCAAATCGGTTTACTGTACTTCCCAGTTGTCCGTCTTCGAGAGCCGGCAGTCCGACCCGCCGACCCGGGTTGTCGCCAGTCATTCGGAGCTCGCAGTCGCAGTCCGTGTCCAGGCCGGCTGAACGCCGTCCCCACGTCTGCGCTACCTAGGCAAGCTGTTCCGGGCTATCACAACCCGAGTCTCGCTGCGGAACCACTCCGGGATCGTCATGGCCTAGGCCAGTATGGCCAGGGCTCACCGTTTCCACCGGTCCTGATCCAAACCTCGCTGTTGGAACGCTCCAGGAGTCACCATGAGCCAGACCAGCCAGAAGGGCTCCGTCGCTCCTGCGCGGCCCCAGCCTGGTGCAGCACGCTCTTCCTGTTTCCTCGCGCTCGCCCCCGGCTAGAAAATGTTGGTAATTAGAAACATACTCTGCACGCTAGAGAACAGTACGCACGTTGCAAAGGTTGTACTGTGATATGCAAGCCTGGTGTAAAAAGGTGACAGGTAGCAGAGTGCGCATTTGAGAAGGCTATTTACGCTTCACATGAGCTTTTTCTAAAGAAAAACTTACGCATCCTGTTTTCTGCATGCCGTCACATTTGTTACCAGACTCAGCATTAAATTTGGTTGCCGAAACAAACAAAACTTTATGTGCTACGAAAATTAACTACTTGAGAACTCGCAGGCTTGGAAGGTTTTGGTCACGACCGCGCGTGTGCCGAACGGCTATGCACACATAAAACTACGACTGCCGGGGCGGGCCAACGGGCCTCTCGCTTCTTGAAGGCCTGGTCGCGTGATTCTCGACGTCACAGCAAAGCAACAATCGTCCCGATTGTTCTTATTGTATTTCCCAATGTGGTGTCTAAGTGGCTCGTAAAACAACTTGTATAAAAGTTATTTTGCTGAGTAGTCTGCAAAACGAGTTCGTCAGACCACTTTCCAAGCCTGCACATATGTTTTCGTTCACTTCAACAGCAACAATTATCGGTAGAATTCACTTACTTGATGCGTCGCACTGCAGTGATCCACTTCTATCGCCGCGTCGCTTCCCAAGATATCGAGGGGAAGCGGTATAGTTTGACGCTTGAGTCGCCTTCGGGACTGTGACAGTCTTTCACGCAGCAGTAGCGACATTTATTTTTGGGGGGAACCGTAGGGGTAGGCGAGATGTCACAGGAACGCGCTGAGGTCATGGAGACGTGAAGCCTGGACTTACTTCTAAGAAAAATGGTTCCCAAAAAGGCTGACGCCGATATTCACACGTGGTTTCTAAATGCGCCTGACTGCAGTCCCCGCAATCCGGGCTTCCTGGCCTGCCCAGTGTTTTATTTTGCACCGCTAGATGGCGCAACCTGTAGAGGCGAATTGCATAGCCGGTTAATATTTGGGTCACTTTAAATTAGGGGAGGGGGAGGAGTAGATTGGAGAGATTCGTATTATCGAGATTCTGCTGGGGGGTGTTCGCCTGCCCCCCCCCCCCCCCTTGCACAGACACAAACAGTGTCGTTGCCCAAGACGCCTGTAACTGTATGTTGCAAATCTTAATTTGTTTTTAAGTTGTATAAAAGCAGAAGAAAATTACTGACAGGGTGCAGTGCCGGTGGGCCCAAATTTAGTTATGTATTTGCAATCCGAACTGCTGATAATGTAGTTGTAGGCAGGGACAATCTGAATCTAGTGAAGCAAGTTAATTGTTCAGGAGAAGCTCGGCTCAGTACTGTTATGCACAGGCTTCAGGCCCCTCCACTGTTTAGAAAATAGTGTTTCGCCCTCTCTGCACACAGGAGCAGAGGAATCAAAAGTCGCTTTTTTGGGGGCAGGAGAACACTGTTATGCTACCATAACCAGACTCTTAACCCAACAAGTCGTTGATGACAGAACAGGACGACTTCATTTCATGTCTTCCTTATGCAGCGTAGCACCATACAGTCATTGCTTACTTGACATGAGAGTAGTTGCAACAACGAGAGTTGGTAAGGTTGCCAGTATCCCACGCGAATAAATACTGTCTTAAAGGCGTGATTTCAAAAGGTAGTCTTCATTTATTTAATGGAGAAAGAAGCCTGGCTGTTGCAACATCATAAGCAACAATACCGCTTTAATGGTAGTGACCACAGCCCTTGTGTCAGTTTACTAAAAGTACCGCAAGGAAGAGCTGACATTGCCTCCACAAGTTTGCATCGTCACAAATCATAAATCAAGTGAAAGCGATTGGCTGATGGTCTGAAATTTCTAAAACAGGTGAAAGCGATTTGCTGGTGTAGTGAAATTGCGAAAAGTTTTAGGGTATGCGTTGCTGAAATCTCACCCTATTAGCAACTCTAGCGTACATTTTGTTCGGGCACATGCATGCTTCCTGCTATTACTACAACAAAAAAATGGGGTTCAATGTTTTGACTAACATCGCTCCTTAACATAGGGCTAGATTGACGTAGTGAAGGAATATTGCGCTTTATTTATACTGCATTGTACGTCATTTTGGATATGTTCTGTGGCTATCTTTTTCTTTATTAAAGCT